TGTCATCCACACTGAGTGTCTCTACAACTCTTTGGACAAAGTCTTTCACAGCTGGGAAGCCAGTTCTAGTACCATCAGATCCATCCAACAAGAACACAATATCTTTTCCTGCTGGCTGTCTCTCCACTAGGGAATAAAAAATGTCAGACATGTTCAGGTTCATGTGTCAAATGTTTTCCATGTGAAAGTCAGATGACCAAAGCTAACCTGGAATTTAACAATGTACTCTGTATAATCTGGAACAAATGTATTCTCAGAGTGCTGCTGGCTTGCCTCAGCTACAATAAATACACTGTCATACTGTTCAATTTGCATCCTACCATGACCTTGGAAAATAAAAATCTGTCACTTTCTTACCAGCTTTTGGGTGTGATGGGCGTGGCCCTGGTTAGCACTGTGTTCATTACAGAGGAGAGCTGTTCCTGGGCACTGGGGAGGTCAGTGAAATCAGACACTGATAGAGCAGAACTAGGGTCATATGATATCTTCTGCAGCTCCCTAGTGTCAGAGTTCCTTGTGCCAATGCCTATCACATAGACACCCTGCTGTTTGAGAGCAGAGGCTGGGGTATCTACATTGTCAAAAGACCTTCCACCATTTAGCAGGATCAACATTTGTGGAACACCTTGCAGGCGCCTGCTCCCGGAGGAGTTTGTAAAGGCGTTGTCCCTGACGTATTGGAGGGCCGCCCCGGTGTTGAGGGGTCTGCCTCCTCTATGTCTCAGCCCTCTGACTGTATCCAAAATATCCTGTCTTGTGGTGTATGTGTTCAGATAGAAATGGATCTCTGCATCTCTGCTGTATTGGACCACAGAGACACGGTCATTGTTAGGTCCTACATTCAATTTCTCCACCACTCTCTTAACAAAATCAAGCATGGCAGGGAAGCCATTCCGTGTGCCATCAGAACCATCCAGGAGGAAAACGATATCCTTTTTGGCAGTATCGACTGAGAAAAGACAGGAAGACATCAGGTGAATTTTTTGCCAAATCTACGCTGCTGGGCTAATCATCAAGTGGTGCAATTTTTATTTGATTTCTCTTTTTTGTTTTTCAGTCACCTAACGCTGGCTAATTTAATGTAAACAATGGGAGAAAACCTCCCCCTCATTTTGAAATGCGGCTACACAAATTTCACACTTATTTTCCTTGCCTCAGTGTAGGTCAAACAAATCATGTATCTATCAGGCCTGTAAGGGGCCATGCTTGTTAACATACCAGGAACAGGTGGTGATTCTGGGGAGACCTCGATAACCACAGCCTCCACGGAGGACTGAAGTTGTTGTTGGACATTGGGAAGGTCAGTGAATTCAGACACAGTTAGTGCATAGCTGGGGTCGTGGGATATCTTCTGCAGTTCTTTGCTATCAGCACTCCTGGTTCCAATTGCAAAGGTCAAGACACCCAGCTCTTTGAGAGCAGAGGCTGGTGCATCAACACTGTCAAAAGACCTTCCACCACTTATCAAAACTAGGACCTGTGGGACTCCTTCCTGGAGCCTGCTTCCAGCAGAGGCCGTGAAGACATTATCCCTCAAGTACTGGAGAGCTGCTCCAGTGTTGAGGGTCTTCCACCTTTGTGCCTCAATCCTCTGACAGTGTCAAGGATGTCGCCTTTTGTGGTGTACGTGTTCAGATAGAATTGGGCAGCTGGCTCTTTGCTGTACTGAACCACTGAGACACGGTCTTTGTTGTCATCCACACTGAGTGTCTCTACAACTCTTTGGACAAAGTCTTTCACAGCTGGGAAGCCAGTTCTAGTACCATCAGATCCATCCAACAAGAACACAATATCTTTTCCTGCTGGCTGTCTCTCCACTAGGGAATAAAAAATGTCAGACATGTTCAGGTTCATGTGTCAAATGTTTTCCATGTGAAAGTCAGATGACCAAAGCTAACCTGGAATTTAACAATGTACTCTGTATAATCTGGAACAAATGTATTCTCAGAGTGCTGCTGGCTTGCCTCAGCTACAATAAATACACTGTCATACTGTTCAATTTGCATCCTACCATGACCTTGGAAAATAAAAATCTGTCACTTTCTTACCAGCTTTTGTTGGTGTGATGGGCGTGGCCCTGGTTAGCACTGTGTTCATTACAGAGGAGAGCTGTTCCTGGGCACTGGGGAGGTCAGTGAAATCAGACACTGATAGAGCAGAACTAGGGTCATATGATATCTTCTGCAGCTCCCTAGTGTCAGAGTTCCTTGTGCCAATGCCTATCACATAGACACCCTGCTGTTTGAGAGCAGAGGCTGGGGTATCTACATTGTCAAAAGACCTTCCACCATTTAGCAGGATCAACATTTGTGGAACACCTTGCAGGCGCCTGCTCCCGGAGGAGTTTGTAAAGGCGTTGTCCCTGACGTATTGGAGGGCCGCCCCGGTGTTGAGGGGTCTGCCTCCTCTATGTCTCAGCCCTCTGACTGTATCCAAAATATCCTGTCTTGTGGTGTATGTGTTCAGATAGAAATGGATCTCTGCATCTCTGCTGTATTGGACCACAGAGACACGGTCATTGTTAGGTCCTACATTCAATTTCTCCACCACTCTCTTAACAAAATCAAGCATGGCAGGGAAGCCATTCCGTGTGCCATCAGAACCATCCAGGAGGAAAACGATATCCTTTTTGGCAGTATCGACTGAGAAAAGACAGGAAGACATCAGGTGAATTTTTTTGCCAAATCTACGCTGCTGGGCTAATCATCAAGTGGTGCAATTTTTATTTGATTTCTCTTTTTTGTTTTTCAGTCACCTAACGCTGGCTAATTTAATGTAAACAATGGGAGAAAACCTCCCCCTCATTTTGAATGCGGCTACACAAATTTCACACTTATTTTCCTTGCCTCAGTGTAGGTCAAACAAATCATGTATCTATCAGGCCTGTAAGGGGCCATGCTTGTTAACATACCAGGAACAGGTGGTGATTCTGGGGAGACCTCGATAACCACAGCCTCCACGGAGGACTGAAGTTGTTGTTGGACATTGGGAAGGTCAGTGAATTCAGACACAGTTAGTGCATAGCTGGGGTCGTGGGATATCTTCTGCAGTTCTTTGCTATCAGCACTCCTGGTTCCAATTGCAAAGGTCAAGACACCCAGCTCTTTGAGAGCAGAGGCTGGTGCATCAACACTGTCAAAAGACCTTCCACCACTTATCAAAACTAGGACCTGTGGGACTCCTTCCTGGAGCCTGCTTCCAGCAGAGGCCGTGAAGACATTATCCCTCAAGTACTGGAGAGCTGCTCCAGTGTTGAGGGGTCTTCCACCTTTGTGCCTCAATCCTCTGACAGTGTCAAGGATGTCGCCTTTTGTGGTGTACGTGTTCAGATAGAATTGGGCAGCTGGCTCTTTGCTGTACTGAACCACTGAGACACGGTCTTTGTTGTCATCCACACTGAGTGTCTCTACAACTCTTTGGACAAAGTCTTTCACAGCTGGGAAGCCAGTTCTAGTACCATCAGATCCATCCAACAAGAACACAATATCTTTTCCTGCTGGCTGTCTCTCCACTAGGGAATAAAAAATGTCAGACATGTTCAGGTTCATGTGTCAAATGTTTTCCATGTGAAAGTCAGATGACCAAAGCTAACCTGGAATTTAACAATGTACTCTGTATAATCTGGAACAAATGTATTCTCAGAGTGCTGCTGGCTTGCCTCAGCTACAATAAATACACTGTCATACTGTTCAATTTGCATCCTACCATGACCTTGGAAAATAAAAATCTGTCACTTTCTTACCAGTTTTGGTGGTGTGATGGGCGTGGCCCTGGTTAGCACTGTGTTCATTACAGAGGAGAGCTGTTCCTGGGCACTGGGGAGGTCAGTGAAATCAGACACTGATAGAGCAGAACTAGGGTCATATGATATCTTCTGCAGCTCCCTAGTGTCAGAGTTCCTTGTGCCAATGCCTATCACATAGACACCCTGCTGTTTGAGAGCAGAGGCTGGGGTATCTACATTGTCAAAAGACCTTCCACCATTTAGCAGGATCAACATTTGTGGAACACCTTGCAGGCGCCTGCTCCCGGAGGAGTTTGTAAAGGCGTTGTCCCTGACGTATTGGAGGGCCGCCCCGGTGTTGAGGGGTCTGCCTCCTCTATGTCTCAGCCCTCTGACTGTATCCAAAATATCCTGTCTTGTGGTGTATGTGTTCAGATAGAAATGGATCTCTGCATCTCTGCTGTATTGGACCACAGAGACACGGTCATTGTTAGGTCCTACATTCAATTTCTCCACCACTCTCTTAACAAAATCAAGCATGGCAGGGAAGCCATTCCGTGTGCCATCAGAACCATCCAGGAGGAAAACGATATCCTTTTTGGCAGTATCGACTGAGAAAAGACAGGAAGACATCAGGTGAATTTTTTTGCCAAATCTACGCTGCTGGGCTAATCATCAAGTGGTGCAATTTTTATTTGATTTCTCTTTTTTTGTTTTTCAGTCACCTAACGCTGGCTAATTTAATGTAAACAATGGGAGAAAACCTCCCCCTCATTTTGAAATGCGGCTACACAAATTTCACACTTATTTTCCTTGCCTCAGTGTAGGTCAAACAAATCATGTCTATCAGGCCTGTAAGGGCCATGCTTGTTAACATACCAGGAACAGGTGGTGATTCTGGGAGACCTCGATAACCACAGCCTCCACGGAGGACTGAAGTTGTTGTTGGACATTGGGAAGGTCAGTGAATTCAGACACAGTTAGTGCATAGCTGGGGTCGTGGGATATCTTCTGCAGTTCTTTGCTATCAGCACTCCTGGTTCCAATTGCAAAGGTCAAGACACCCAGCTCTTTGAGAGCAGAGGCTGGTGCATCAACACTGTCAAAAGACCTTCCACCACTTATCAAAACTAGGACCTGTGGGACTCCTTCCTGGAGCCTGCTTCCAGCAGAGGCCGTGAAGACATTATCCCTCAAGTACTGGAGAGCTGCTCCAGTGTTGAGGGGTCTTCCACCTTTGTGCCTCAATCCTCTGACAGTGTCAAGGATGTCGCCTTTTGTGGTGTACGTGTTCAGATAGAATTGGGCAGCTGGCTCTTTGCTGTACTGAACCACTGAGACACGGTCTTTGTTGTCATCCACACTGAGTGTCTCTACAACTCTTTGGACAAAGTCTTTCACAGCTGGGAAGCCAGTTCTAGTACCATCAGATCCATCCAACAAGAACACAATATCTTTTCCTGCTGGCTGTCTCTCCACTAGGGAATAAAAAATGTCAGACATGTTCAGGTTCATGTGTCAAATGTTTTCCATGTGAAAGTCAGATGACCAAAGCTAACCTGGAATTTAACAATGTACTCTGTATAATCTGGAACAAATGTATTCTCAGAGTGCTGCTGGCTTGCCTCAGCTACAATAAATACACTGTCATACTGTTCAATTTGCATCCTACCATGACCTTGGAAAATAAAAATCTGTCACTTTCTTACCAGCTTTTGTTGGTGTGATGGGCGTGGCCCTGGTTAGCACTGTGTTCATTACAGAGGAGAGCTGTTCCTGGGCACTGGGAGGTCAGTGAAATCAGACACTGATAGAGCAGAACTAGGGTCATATGATATCTTCTGCAGCTCCCTAGTGTCAGAGTTCCTTGTGCCAATGCCTATCACATAGACACCCTGCTGTTTGAGAGCAGAGGCTGGGGTATCTACATTGTCAAAAGACCTTCCACCATTTAGCAGGATCAACATTTGTGGAACACCTTGCAGGCGCCTGCTCCCGGAGGAGTTTGTAAAGGCGTTGTCCCTGACGTATTGGAGGGCCGCCCCGGTGTTGAGGGTCTGCCTCCTCTATGTCTCAGCCCTCTGACTGTATCCAAAATATCCTGTCTTGTGGTGTATGTGTTCAGATAGAAATGGATCTCTGCATCTCTGCTGTATTGGACCACAGAGACACGGTCATTGTTAGGTCCTACATTCAATTTCTCCACCACTCTCTTAACAAAATCAAGCATGGCAGGGAAGCCATTCCGTGTGCCATCAGAACCATCCAGGAGGAAAACGATATCCTTTTTGGCAGTATCGACTGAGAAAAGACAGGAAGACATCAGGTGAATTTTTTTGCCAAATCTACGCTGCTGGGCTAATCATCAAGTGGTGCAATTTTTATTTGATTTCTCTTTTTTTGTTTTTCAGTCACCTAACGCTGGCTAATTTAATGTAAACAATGGGAGAAAACCTCCCCCTCATTTTGAATTGCGGCTACACAAATTTCACACTTATTTTCCTTGCCTCAGTGTAGGTCAAACAAATCATGTATCTATCAGGCCTGTAAGGGGCCATGCTTGTTAACATACCAGGAACAGGTGGTGATTCTGGGGAGACCTCGATAACCACAGCCTCCACGGAGGACTGAAGTTGTTGTTGGACATTGGGAAGGTCAGTGAATTCAGACACAGTTAGTGCATAGCTGGGGTCGTGGGATATCTTCTGCAGTTCTTTGCTATCAGCACTCCTGGTTCCAATTGCAAAGGTCAAGACACCCAGCTCTTTGAGAGCAGAGGCTGGTGCATCAACACTGTCAAAAGACCTTCCACCACTTATCAAAACTAGGACCTGTGGGACTCCTTCCTGGAGCCTGCTTCCAGCAGAGGCCGTGAAGACATTATCCCTCAAGTACTGGAGAGCTGCTCCAGTGTTGAGGGGTCTTCCACCTTTGTGCCTCAATCCTCTGACAGTGTCAAGGATGTCGCCTTTTGTGGTGTACGTGTTCAGATAGAATTGGGCAGCTGGCTCTTTGCTGTACTGAACCACTGAGACACGGTCTTTGTTGTCATCCACACTGAGTGTCTCTACAACTCTTTGGACAAAGTCTTTCACAGCTGGGAAGCCAGTTCTAGTACCATCAGATCCATCCAACAAGAACACAATATCTTTTCCTGCTGGCTGTCTCTCCACTAGGGAATAAAAAATGTCAGACATGTTCAGGTTCATGTGTCAAATGTTTTCCATGTGAAAGTCAGATGACCAAAGCTAACCTGGAATTTAACAATGTACTCTGTATAATCTGGAACAAATGTATTCTCAGAGTGCTGCTGGCTTGCCTCAGCTACAATAAATACACTGTCATACTGTTCAATTTGCATCCTACCATGACCTTGGAAAATAAAAATCTGTCACTTTCTTACCAGCTTTTTTGGTGTGATGGGCGTGGCCCTGGTTAGCACTGTGTTCATTACAGAGGAGAGCTGTTCCTGGGCACTGGGAGGTCAGTGAAATCAGACACTGATAGAGCAGAACTAGGGTCATATGATATCTTCTGCAGCTCCCTACTGTCAGAGTTCCTTGTGCCAATGCCTATCACATAGACACCCTGCTGTTTGAGAGCAGAGGCTGGGGTATCTACATTGTCAAAAGACCTTCCACCATTTAGCAGGATCAACATTTGTGGAACACCTTGCAGGCGCCTGCTCCCGGAGGAGTTTGTAAAGGCGTTGTCCCTGACGTATTGGAGGGCCGCCCCGGTGTTGAGGGGTCTGCCTCCTCTATGTCTCAGCCCTCTGACTGTATCCAAAATATCCTGTCTTGTGGTGTATGTGTTCAGATAGAAATGGATCTCTGCATCTCTGCTGTATTGGACCACAGAGACACGGTCATTGTTAGGTCCTACATTCAATTTCTCCACCACTCTCTTAACAAAATCAAGCATGGCAGGGAAGCCATTCCGTGTGCCATCAGAACCATCCAGGAGGAAAACGATATCCTTTTTGGCAGTATCGACTGAGAAAAGACAGGAAGACATCAGGTGAATTTTTTTGCCAAATCTACGCTGCTGGGCTAATCATCAAGTGGTGCAATTTTTATTTGATTTCTCTTTTTTGTTTTTCAGTCACCTAACGCTGGCTAATTTAATGTAAACAATGGGAGAAAACCTCCCCCTCATTTTGAATTGCGGCTACACAAATTTCACACTTATTTTCCTTGCCTCAGTGTAGGTCAAACAAATCATGTGTCTATCAGGCCTGTAAGGGGCCATGCTTGTTAACATACCAGGAACAGGTGGTGATTCTGGGGAGACCTCGATAACCACAGCCTCCACGGAGGACTGAAGTTGTTGTTGGACATTGGGAAGGTCAGTGAATTCAGACACAGTTAGTGCATAGCTGGGGTCGTGGGATATCTTCTGCAGTTCTTTGCTATCAGCACTCCTGGTTCCAATTGCAAAGGTCAAGACACCCAGCTCTTTGAG